TTCTTTCTGAATATACTTGGGGTGCTATCACTCCTGCCTACACTGTATGGGCTGCACCAAAAGAAGCTAGATCCTGCTTTCTTGACTTTTTGTGTCAAAGTACTTACAAAGAACAAATGTGAACAGAAGTAGTAAATTGGATTTCGTTTTGTGCAAAAATCCTCATATGGATCACAGACAGGTAATGTTAATGGGGTAGGTGTCTGAAAGCATTGTGGTGTGGTCCATCATTCTTTTTACGTTTACTAACTGCTATTCCAGCTGCCCCTACAACCATACAGCTGATTGTTTTTACTTCTTCAAATGTTGTTCAGTTGCTTCCTATAAATTTCCAGATTAAGCTTCCCTGATCACTTTGCAGATGATTCTTCAGTGTTGCTGAGTGGCTTCTAGACTAATTTGAGTAATTTACAGAAGGGCTCATTTCAGTTCTCCCTGGGCTCTTCATATGTTTCATTCAGGTTAATCACCTATTCCAGTCACTTCAAAAGCAAAAGAAGCTAATCAATTTGAGCTTTGCAAACAAAGAAGAAAATGGCAACAAAGTTGATGCCCCCCTTCTATCTGTGGACTGAGTGCAGAATATTCAAATATATGGGTATTCTTTCCTTTGGGATGAAAATGGCTTATGTCTAGTAACCATATCATTTTTCATTCAACTTATAATGATTCTGAGAGTGAAAGGAAGTAGTAATAATTTCATAAGGATAATAGGTATAAACCCTGACTGTCCTGGGCAGAAGAAGTAGTCTCATCTGAATAGAAAGAATATGATGCCCGCAGTGGCAGCCATCTTGTTCCACCAAGCCTCAGGTCTCATTGTGTCCTTTCATTCTCCATTATTCCACCCCCACCTTTCCCTCAGAATTGGGGGATGGAAGGACCGTATCTTTGTCTTATTTCCTTTTCTAATCCTAAAGTGCAGTTAGAAAAGTGAAGCTAATTCAACTTTTTTTGTTGTTATGATGCCAAGCAGATTTGTTTGTGCACAAAGCAATGAGGATTAAGATACTAGATAAAAAGGAAAGCAGTTTTCTGTCAAATGGAGAAGATCAGGATTCTTAAGTGGCTGGCTTTGGGATCACTACGATGGGAGGACTTGCTGTGTTGCCTTCAGAAGTTGTCTCTTTACCTGATGCTTCAGCAGGCTTTGCAAACATGCCTTCCTGCTGGGCCAGCTCTTCTAATTCCTTCTGACAGCCAAGATGGTAATCCAGGTAGTCTATGTTCTGTTTATCCAGGAGCTCTCCTGTGAAGTCTAAGAGATCACTTTCACTGTTCTTAGAAGCCATGATCTTGAGGTCTTGCAGGACCTTGCTTAACATGTTCTCCAACTGCAGAGCAGACTTCAGAGCTGGTGTGCCACTTCCACAGTTATCTGTATCAGGCCTCTTAAGCACCAGGAGGAAGATGCTGCCCTCACGTTTTCTCTCTCAAAGGAAGAAAAGTCAATGTTCTGTATAAGAAGATTCCCACATATATGCTAACAACGTTTTCTTTTTCCTCCCAGCCTCTATGGTTATATAAACAGAAGCTGAAGAAATCTATGCAGGTGTCTTCAGGGGTCTAGGGTAAGGTACCAAGTCGGCTGAATGTACCATGAGTAGTTTGCTTCTGAGAGCAGAATTTCCTTTAAAACTCAGTACTCAATGGAATTGCAGACTATGCTACAATAATAGTAATACTAACTTTTTGGGAAAAAAGTAAATGAGAAGATAGGAGTCTGGTTTAGAGGAGGATGAAGAGGTTTATTTTAAATAGAATTCACAAGAAGTCAAAGTGGGAGTGTGATACAAGATTTGTGTTATTGACAGAGACTAGAGATTTATTTAGAAGTCTTCAGAGGTAATAAGCCAAAACTCTAGTTAGTGATGGAAAGTAGTGAATTAGCATAGACTACCCCTAAATCCCAAATTCTTAACACAACAGAAGTTTGTTTCTTATTCATATTACATGTCTATTGAGGGTTGGCAGTGCTCCAAAGAGTAACACAAGGGGTCCAGACTGAGGATGGCGCCATCTCAACACATGCTTCCATAGACATAGCGGCCGGGGACAGGGAACCTGGCAAATCATACATCGAAACCAAAAGGAAACAGAAAACCAAGGGTAAAAAGTATTCTTAAGTATGCTATGGAACTCACAAATTTAGCTGCCCTGCATTGCTAATAATGAATTTTCAAAATGATCTTTAGGTTTATATTAGCAGCTAATATTTGGAGGGTGCTTAAATGTAATTTATAGCAGATTAGCTTCTTTCTGTATATGACTCTAAATGAAAAGCATTGCAGAGATTCTTTTTTGGGATTTCTCATGATCTTTAACTTTTTTTTTTCAAGTGAGACTTTTAGGCATTTCTAAAGATAAAATATTACTATTTTGTAATATTTCATTTTACTCTGTTTTTTCTATAACAAGATAGTTGAGTCTATTTCTCAGGGTAAATCAGGTCCGTAATTCCCTATCTAAATTCCAAACTCCAAAAGTGTTTGCAAACAGAAAGTTTTTTCATAACTCATTTGGAAGCATAATCTGACATGAATTGACATAAGGCTATTTGTGGTCTTTATCCCACATGTGAATATGGATATATTTTGCCACAGAAGTATTAATGTATTTGATTCTGGACTACTTCTCTACATGCACTGAAGGTTACAGAATATACAGTATATGTCCATATTGCCTTTCAAAAATCTGAAAAAAACCGGAATTTCAAACATATCTGTCCCTTAAGGTTTCAGAAAAAAGAATATGGATCTGTATTTCTGGTCTCTTAACAAACTCACAGAGGTATTATGAATCAAATTTAATCCATCTAGATAATTTCCAAAACATAACTGTCAACTCTTTGGTTTTCTACATTATTCTTCTGACTTTTTTTCTAATTCATTTATAACAAAGTATGTTTTAGCCTGAAGTAACAATGGGAAATATTTTGAAATGCTTGATTTCAGATAGCCACTAGGTGGCATGTTTGTAAAAATAAAAGCACATTAAAAGAACTGTTTATTGTATAAATAAATGCTGAGATAAATAAAGGTAGATGTTTCATGAGAAAGATAAGTTATTTGGGGCAATAAATGCTGAGAAAATGCATAGGTTTATTGTGAAAAATAAAATGGAAAATGCTATTTTAAAATTACTTTTTCACTTTCAGAATTGAGAGTCTTTTTCCTATTGGTTGTTTTCAGCTTGAATTTATATTTATTTTGTAGAACCAAACAGCTATATATTTGTGTGTGTAGGTGTGTGAGTGAGAGAGAGAGAGATTTTGATGTGTTGTTAACCTTTCCAACCTGCATAGACTACCTGGGAAGCCTACCAGTTAAGTTAGGCTCACATTGTAAGATTAAGTTGTACAAAATCATCTCCACAGCGAACTATAAATAGATATGAACGTATAGTGGGTGTCAAGTCACATTTAACACTGTGAAGTACTTGAAGTTCTCTACCGCCAGGTTTTCTTCCCTCTATCTCCTGCCTCCATACCTAAACCTAGCTTTTTCATACTGTCCTTACCATAGAGAACAGTGAATGATAAATTTTAAAGAGGAAACCCAGAAAGGTGAGTGTTTAAAACCAATGGAATTCTCATTACTAGTAAAAGTTAAGATACCTTATGATTTGGGGGATGGGAGTGGGGAGTGTTGGGAAGAACGTGCCTGCACACCTCCCATCGCCCGGCTTCCCCATGAAAGACTAACCCTAGTGGCTATCTGGCTATCTGTATTCCCTCACCGGCCACCCGCCCCCCCCCCCTCCCCCCCCCCCCCCCCCGCCGGCCTTTTCTCTGCACTTCGCGAATATGTGGATTCATGAAGTGACTTAAATACATTTGCTTTTATTTAAAACCATTATTAACGCCAATTTTATCTGAGAAGATTAAACATTTTATATTTCTAGTAAGAAATATCTTTTAAAGTGGAATGAAGACTGAAAGAATGGCATGGACATTAGGAAGTTATTGGGAAGATGGAAATGCGGTTTCAGCAGAAAGATATAAAGGAATGAAGACATTGGACATTATGAAGGAGGAATGGACCCATATTATATATAACAAAAGTTTTAATTTTATTAATCTTACATCACTTTTAAAAATCAAAGGGTTTTAAATTAAACAGTAGCATAGAATAGTGGTTTCAAAATCGAGGACCTGGATTCAGACTGCTTGGGTTTAATCCTGGCTACCCCACTAAACCTCTTTGAGCCTCTATTCCTCACTAGTAAAATGGGGCTACCGTTCTTCCTTAATAAAATCATTGTAAGGATTAAGTTAGAAATGTAAGTGCTCATTAACAAATAATAATAAATGTTAGTTATTACTATGAAGCTACATGAAGTTTGCCACTACATTTACAACAGGAACATAATTGATTCTCTCCCCCAATATATGCTGCTTTAAAAATCTTCTCAATTTAAAGAATTTCTAGTGATAGAAAAAAAAACCTTTATAATTCAGTGATTAACAAAAGCTTTGCTTCTGCTGATTTAAAAGAGGAGTTATTAAACAGTTCCTGTCTCCCTTTTCTCTTTGGCTGCCAGGAAGCCAAGAGCCAAGTTCTAAATTTAACAAAATCAAGTAGGCACCTACTGTTACACAACTGTGTTCTCCTTTGTCAAGGTCTTCACTCTTACTTCATGTTTACATTTTCTCTAATCCTGAGTTTTTATATCTACAAGCACAAATTGCTGTCACTGGTTCGGAGAACCGTACCCTCTTACCACTATAAAAGGGATCTTGGAAAGCGGTTAGCGACCGATTTGCTTACAGATCTAGGTAATAAGCAGGTACAATCTGCCTCGCCCCTCGCCCAGAGCCCCGAGCCCCTCGCCCGAGCCCCTCGCCCCGCCCTCGTCTGCCTAATTTCTTCGTCTCGTCCCCTCACCCCTCCCCTCAGCCGCGTTCCTTCCCGACTCGCGCACCGCCTCTTCTCGCGACAGCAATGCCCTGGCAGGTGGAGGTGGCGTAGGGCCGTTGCTAGGATATGGCTGGCAACACAGAATCCGGCGAGTGGGGACGCTGCTTCCTAGGAGCCTGAGAAACCGCTTCCACCCCAGTCGCTGCGTTTCTTAGTCAGGTAGGAGGACAGGTTTTGGCTGCCGTCTTCTGGCCCGATCCTTAGACCGGCCTTGAGCCGGTGACTACGGCGCCAGACTCCGAGGGCTATGTGCGGGGCGCTGATCCCCCTGCGCTCTGGGGACTGCTCGGCCGCTCGGGGATGTTCCACTTTTAAAAACCGTGCAAAGCATCGCATCTGTCTTGGTTCGTTTTTTGGCTCCTTATCTCTGATGTGGGATTTGGAAGCCGCAGTATCAAGCTAGGAGTTGTACCTCGAGGACCTCCCACTCCCGGTGCTTATCACGATAATAGAAGCAAGACCATCTCTGTGTGTAACCCAGATCTGGCATTAGCAAACTTTTAGCCATCCCTGGTGACCACCATTTTCAGTCTTTAGTAAATAGAGGACTTTCAGACCTTCCTCGCTGGTATTCTCACTCCTTCCCTCCACCGATGGTCTTTGCTGTGCCTCTTAAAAAACTTAGCAAGTCTATTTGGTAGAAGGCAAAACTGGATCCCTGCCTTACTACTTACACTAGATATCTAAAACATTCTAGATTTATCAATGAAATTATGCATTGTAGGTGAAAAGGGGACTATTTTGTATGCGATCATAATAGAGACTGCTTTTTTCTTCTTAAACAATTTTTTAAGATTAAAACTTACGTTTGGATAGATAGGACATAAAAAGAAAAAGTTACTTTCTGGAGGTATTCTGTGCGTGTACAAATATGTAGTTGTACCTGTAACATTGTACATACTGGTGTGTGCTTTTGTTGGAGGAGGTCATGCGAAGGATGTGACTGCTGTTTGACCCACGAACTGGATGGGGCAATGGGAGGCTCTTACCGCCTCCCTTGTCCTTGGAATATGGGTGCCTTCTGCTCCCCGTTCCTGTACTGGAAGCGGTTTCAAGGACAGAGCCTTGAGAGAGTACTGTGTTATTGAGACCATCTGAACTGTATAGTGCACCCAGTTAAGGCCTCTATATAAACTCAAGATTCTGGCAGGCGGTGTGGAGATCTACTGTCTTGCAGCTACGGAAGACAAGCCTCATAATAAGTCCCCTAGCTTATTAAACCTGCCACCTACTAGTCTGGAGTGGTTTGCCTCTTTCTTCGGTCTCTCCTTGCCCTCCATGTAAGGGTGCTGTTTCGGATTTCACCCGGGGAACTCGAAAGGTTGTGAACCAGCAGCTTTGGTTTTTCACTTAGTTGAATCATGCAGTATGTAGCCTTTAGAATTGGCTTCTTCACTTAGCGTAATTCATTTGACATTCGTCTGTGTTGTTGTGTGTATCAATAGTTTATTCCTTTTTATTGGTGAGTAATACTCCATTTTATGAATGTAAAAATAGTATGTGTGTCCATCCCTCAACTAAGGAACATTTGTGTGGTTTCCAGTCTTTAGTGATTAAGAATAGAGTTTTTATAAACTTCTGTGTACAGGTTTTGTATGAATGTAGTTTTTCATGCCACTTGGGTAAAGGACACAGATTGTTGGGTCATATGATAAGTGTATGTTTAATTGTATAAGAAAACAATTATCCCAAATGCTGTACCAATTTTCATTTCCACCATCAGGGTATAAGAGCTCCACTTGTCTTCATACTCACCAGCACCTGATATTGTTGGGTGAAAAAAATTTTATTCGCTATCCTGATAGGTATGTAGTGGGGTTTCATTGTGATTTAAAGGTGCATTCTCTAATGACTAATGATATTGAGCATCTTTTCACATGCTTGTTTTCAGGGCCAGGACTAGAATGAGGCAGTTGAGGCAACCAGGTCCAGAATTTCAGGAGGCATTTATTCTCAGGCACAAGTCCAAGCGTAGAGCAGTACAGGGGCCACCTTTGCCTCCATCTAGCCCTGGCCCTGCTTGTTTGCCTTCTGTATATATTCTTTGGTGACATGTCTATTTAAATCCTTTACTCATTTTTTCCTTATTATTGAGTTTTGAGAGTTCTCTATATTCCGGATACAAGTCTTTTGTCAAATATGAGTTTTGCAAAGAAGTTATCTCCCAGTCTATGGTTTGTCTTTTTATCCTTCCAGTTGTGTTTTTTGAATAGCAGAAGTTCTTGCTTTTGTTACTGTTGCTGTTTTAGAAGATGCCGTCCTGGCCATTTTGAGTGGACAGGGACCTACAAGATAGAAACAAAAACATTACCTCAGACTCTCCAAAAAGGGCAGATGAGTATGTTGCTAGGAGTTAGGGCTGCTTTAGGACAGTCTTTTTCTAATCAGGCCATTAAGCTCTTTTATGGGATTAAAAAAGGAAAAAAAAAAAAAAAAAAAGGAAGATTTTTTTTTGTAGATGAGAGCCTAAAGAGGTTTCATGAACTTTTTAAAAATTGCTTTTGTTCAGTTTTTTCTCATTTTACTTTTTTTTCCTCTTTATCGTTTTGGAATTTTAAAACTTTATTTCAGTTCTTTTATTGGTTGTACTTGAAATTTAACTATGCATATTTAACAAAGTCTAGGGTTAAGAATATCATATCCCTCAATTTTGTAAACAGTCTAAGGATTTGAGAACAGTTTATTCTCAGCTTTCCCTTCCCAGTTACATGTTCTTATTGTCTAATATTTCAATTTTCTCCTATTATTTTGTGTTGACACTGTTTGTTTGGGTTTACCCATATGTTTGTGATTTGTTCGCCTTTCCTTCATGCGCTGTAGTCTTCCAGTGGGCCCATTTTCCTCCCTTTTCAAGTGTATCCTGTAGAGCAGCTATCTTGGTGGTAATTTATTTGTAAATGTTTCTGTTTTCTTTCTTGAAAGATAATTTTGCTGGGTGCACAATTCTAGGTTGATAGTTGCCTTCTTTTAATTAGTCCATTATTGCCTTGGCTGCTATTTTTCTGATAAGAAATCTGCAGTAATTTTACTTTTCTTTCCTTTGTATTAATGTCAGCAAATCAATATGATTCAAAACAGGTGATGTGTCCTTTGTCACTGTTTGCTTTCCAGACTTTGTTTTTGTTATTCTGTAATTTAATTACTATGTATATGGCTATGAATTATTTTTTATTTATCCATTAGGTGTGTATTTATGTTGTGCTTCCTGGATCTCTGGCTCCATGTTTTTCATCAGTTTTGAAAACTTCTCAGCCATTACCTTTTAAAATATTTCCTCTCTTCCATCTTTCTGTTTTCTTCTGGGATTCCAGTTTGACTTATGCTAAATCAGAGACTGGCAGATTTTTTCTGAAAAGGGCTTCACAGGCTACATACAATCTCTGTTGCATATTCTTTGTTGTTTTTTATTTTAACAGTACAAAACCATTGTTAGCTCACAGCAAACATATATGCTTAGCAAAAAATATGCTAGACTTTCTCTTTTCCGTGGCTCTTAATCTCTCATATTTTTCATATCCTTATCTCTTTGCGGCATTCTATATAAAATATTTTTATTTATCCTCCAGTTTACTAATTCTCTCTTCAACTCTAATGCTGTATTCATTGAATTCAACAAGTATATATTTTTATTCCAGATATTTCTCTTTTTTTTTGAAATTTGTCTTCTAGTAGCCAGAGAACTTCACTCACTAAGGTTAATTTTTTTTCTCCATAGGGATTTGTACTTAGAGTGGAAGTCCCAAACGCATCTTTCCCACCTCACTACTGTTCCAAGTTTTAATCTTCCCCCTGCTGTTGCCGCAGAAATCAACATTGAGGCCACTTCCTCAATCTCTGCTTCCTGGCTGCCAGCTTCTATAGGTGGGCTCCCTGCTCTCCTGGGTCTTCAGTGCTCTGATCCAGCTCCTGCCTCTGCAGCTTGGCTCTGGACTGCCCTGGCCCATGCTCCTGGATGCTATCATGCTGGCTCCCAAGCCAAGGCTCTTAGTTGCTGTAGCTCAGGCCATGGTCAGCTCCAAGATCAGCCCACATTTGTTTGTTGATCTGTTTGCTTTGTGGGGCAGAGGTCACTGGAGACCTCTGCCACAATTTGTGAGAGCAAAGCTACTACAAAGAGTGTGTCCTATCCAGGAGATAGTTGCTGTAGAGCTGGAAACTTCCTTGGAGCTTCTACTCAGTTGTAATGCTAGAAGCATAAATGTTAGTTTTGTATTTAGAAAAAAAGTTATTCAAAAAGCCTTTCTTTCACAAGGCATTATTCATTGAATAAGGAGAAGATGACAATATATTTTAAAATATTTTTCACAGAAGATTTCTCAAATTTGTTGTGTTTTGGGGTTCTCTTTTTGGTACACATTTTTACTTTCTGTGGTGTTTTTATTAAAAACTCACCAATGTTTTACATGATGCCATTACTAAGATAATATTTAAAAAAAATAATGAGCAACATTGTAGTATATTATGAGGATAACTGTAACCAGTAATGAATTTGATATTTGGTGTAGAAATTTTTGTTTGTAGTAAATGTGTTTATTTTTTTCAATTCAGGAAAATGTCTGATCAGGAGGAAGAATTTAATGCTCAGAATGTTGTTGATGCGTCAGAAGAAAGTAAAGATGCTTTTGAGTCTATCAATATTCCAGGTTCCTCAGAAGAGCTTCCAGAGTCAGAGCAAACTGAAGACAATGAATCTGAATTAGAACAGTCTGGTGGGAGCCATGGACCACATGTTGAGGAGGAGACTGACCAGAGGGCCTTAAGCCTGGAACCAATCGCTGATGCACAGGCCTCGGAAGAGGTTATGTCACCCGAATATGTTTTGTCTTCTCCGGGTCATCATGAAGAGCCCTATCTAACTCATTCTGATACTGCAGTGCAATCAGCCGAACAATATATAAATGATGGTTCCCTGACACTTCTGGATAAAATAAAGGCTATAAAGGAATCTCTGAAAGAATCTGCGAAAGATTCTTTCGCAACAGGTATTACCTAGGGAAGATAGGATATTTCTTTTCCTCGTTTTGAAGAATGGGTACTTTTTCTTGTTTGCTTTTATTTGAAGATTTATTTTACATTCGTTATTACTTTCCCTTATCCCCCAAACTTCTGTAGTGACACCACTTGAATGTCTTAATTATGAAGCGTCTCTATTTTGCAATATCTACTCTCCCTAAATAAATGAATATCGTTAAATTTTAAATTGATATTTATCTGTTTTTCCCAAATAAAGTAGCTTTTAAAATGTTTAGGGACCTTGGAAAATGGTGGACAAATTCTTGAGTATAATTGTAATTCTTTTGCGTGCCACTTTGGAATTCATTGTACATAGCAAGAGTGGAATGGGAACTTGACTCCAGATTTTCAAGTTTCATATCCAGTGCTCATTCCATATATCTTGTTGCTTTTACATATTTCCGTATTTCTGCTTAGTGGTAACCTTATATTTAGCTTCAGAAAAATCATTGTTGTCTTTCATTATTGGGTAATTTTAAAGACGTAATGTTGATGGCATGTAGGGGTTATCACTTCATTGTTGGTAACAAAACAGAGGGGGAGCAGCAATAAGGTGGTTACACAGAGAGCCATTCTACTTGCGTGGTTAACAGACTGCTCCCTCTCCCCCTTGTCCATCAGTTTTGAGAGATTTTCCATCTGTAGAGTACAGAAGACGAGCCACCATTTAACAATAATAGCAGCTTAGTTTGGCTCATAAAATGTAGCTTTTGAATCCAGCGGGGTAGTTTATCCTGGTGTGGTGTGTCCACACAAGTAAAGAATGAAAAGGAGGAAGGAAAAGAAATAATCAAGCCAAGTTATACCCAACTGAAGCTGTTATCGTTCTATTTCACTGTAAATTTGGGCTCTATTTTTTGATATTTCTGTGATTCCCTGTTACTGTAGCTTATAAGAAACACATGGTGATTAAAAATAGTTGTCTTGGTCCTATACTTCCTGAGGCTCAGAAATTCCTTAATGCACCTCGCCTTCCCAAAGCTCAGGAGGTCACTCCTATGAAAATTTTACAATGTATTGATTATAGAATTTTGAATCCATAAAATAATTGAAGTAGCCTTCTGATAATTTAACATCTGTGAAAGTGTTCTCTTTGTTGACAGAGAACTGTGAAAACATGTTTTAATAAGCTCAAAGAACCTTAGCATCAGCAGTGCCTAGTTAAATTTCATCATGGGATTATTGATAAATGTCTCGTTTAGCTTTATGAAAACTGTCATGTCAGGCATGTAGAAATATACAAAACTTTTTTGGCCTATAGTGTGCACTCTACATCCATCTTACTTTGTATAGTTTCTCCATTAAAATTTAAAATCTGTAGCTGTAAAAGAAAAAAGTTTACCCCCTAATAATTAGTTTTTAAATCCTACATTTCCTTCATATAATTTGTGAACAAATAATCATTTTATAATAACAGTTTTTCTTTATTTTTAATGTTTTAAGGGTCTTGATTTCCTATTTTGTATAGTGGAGAGTGAGCCACATCATGTCCATTTTTGTGAAAAGTAGATTTTTAGGTAGTTATTCATGATATTTGTAATAAACAGTGATTTTCTGTTTTGCATTTTGGCAACTATAGACATGAATCAATTATAGGAAGAAGCATGGACTTAGTATTAGGTATCTTTTGTAGTTGCAGGCTCAAAGAAAATTTTCTTTGAAAATTTCTCTATTAGTTTTTCTTAACTTTATGGATACGCACTGATTTACTGATGCGTGATGTCAATATGTAATCAAAGCATGCACATATCTAGGTTCAGGGACACCCTCTAGGTCTCAGGGTCTCCCTTTCCAATACTCACTACACAAAAATGCTTGGTTTTCTGAGATGTTTCCTATGTTTATATCTGAGTAATATATACCAGATATTGGGAATATTTAAGAGCAGTCTAGTTTTATTTCCTAATTCTTGTAATATTCTGAGTGAAGAGTAAACCCGAACATGCACTGATCCTCAGAGCAGGGAATGGAAGAGAGATCTGAACTTTGAGCTGGAGTTCGGGGAGCAAGTGTTGACTGTTGATGCTAATTCTTGAGATTCTGAACTGATTTTCAAAGTGAAAGGTTGCAGTTGAATGTTGGTCACTTCTCATAGAAAATGAAAGTAACTCTTGTCATGGAGGTGCAGTAGGGGAACATGGCAGAAGCAACCTGTATTCTGTGTGATTAAAAGTTGTCCTATAATTCTCTATCTGCTTGTGGACTGGGTTGCTGACCCTTGCTTTTGACTATGATCCTTTCTTTTCTCTTTTTATCTACAGTAAAAGTTGTACTTCTTCCTGTGTGCCAGGAGATTATAATGCCTTTTAAAATTGACACCATTTTTAAATACCTCAAGGATCATTTTTCATCCCTATTAAGTGTCCCACCTGATGTACTGCAGATACAGTATTCAGGTAAGCTCAGGTATCGAGACTTCTTTGGTTGTGACATGTAAATAATCAAGATTTTTGATTTGTTAAACTAAATATCTTGATATTTACTATTTGAACATTATATTGTAGTTTTACATGTGTCCATTGAACACATTTTTATTGAGGACATCCTTTGTTCTGAATACATTACTAAGAACTGAAGATATAAAAAAACATGAAACAGGGCTGTCCCCAGTGGCCTAGTGGTTAAGTTCAGTGCATTCCACTTTGGTGGCCTTGGTTTGGGTCCTGGGCACAGACCTGCACCACTCGTCTCTCAGTGGCCATGCTGTGGTGGCAACTCACATACAAAAAGAGGAATACTCGCAGTGGATGTTAGCTTAGGGCAAAACTTCCTCAGAGAAAAAAAAAAACCAAACATGAAAAAAATCCCTGTTCTCAAGTTATTTACAGACTAGTAAGGAAGAAGATGCATGCACACATTCCTACATTATGTGGAACTGTACCACATAATGTGTAAATGTTGTAATGGAGATATGTACAAAAAGCTGTGAGAACAGGGAGAAAGGAAACTGGGAGATTCTAGAAAGCTTCGTTTAATAAAAGTCATAATACTTGTGCTAAGCGCCAATGAGGTGAGAAAACCTGGGACTTTTGGGAAGAGGTAAGAAGTTTAGAGTGGCTGGAAATAGATTATATATATGGGAAATGGGAGGAAATGAGATTGAAAAAATACATGATGTATGAGCATCTATAGAATATGAAGAGGACTGAAGGTGGTTCATCTATCAGTGTTCTATGTATTAAGGTCAATTCACATCCCCATGATAGTCAAGTTTATTTATCTTTTGTGGGCAATATTGTGCAGCCCTCTTTATATTAGCTGTGTGTCATGGAGGATGTAGTCTGTAACTGTGATAGAGTTAACTGGAATAACACAGCTAAATGAATGTTTCTATAGAATATGTCTGCACAGATCCTAATATTTTAGTATAAGAAGTTTTGGTATTAACTTACAAAGATGATACAAAAAGTTTCCAGGGAAATAAGAACATTTTTTGTGGGAAAATCATAAGTGTTAAAAAGGAGTAAGCCATACCTATCAAGTTCCTCCTCCTTGCCAAATCAGAGAAAAACAACCAGTTTAATTTCAAAATTATTTTTAGAAAGCTATTGTAGTGAATGTGCTCTAATAGTAAGATGCTCATGTATTCAAACAACTAATTTAAAAAGCTTGATTGAGGAAACAAAGCTAAAATTTAAATAATTATTGGTAATGATAATGATGGTGATGAGCACAGTTAATTTATTGAGCACTTACTATGTGCTACTCATTCTACAGAATGTTCTGCCTACATTATCACAATCCACACAACAAACCTTTGAGGTAGGTATTACTATTATTAACTTTTTTTGAGAGAAGGAAACCAAACTTTGGGGAACTTGTGCAAATTCACAGGTAATAAGTGACAGAATCTGAACTTAAATATAGGTATGAGTCAAAAAAGGGAATTTGAAACTGCTTGGCATTAACTATAAGGTGAAATTCAAAACCAGAGAAGAGAGATCTCTTTGAGACTGGAGTAGCTGGTACCCAAGAATCTCTCTGTTCTTTGCACTTCATGACCTTTCTTTATGTGTAAGTACCAGGCATCACTACTGGGTAACAGACTTATGTCAGTAGGAATAATCAAAGAGCTTGATTCTATGTCAATACCCTTTAAGGTAGGTGCTTTCTTCTAGTACTAGAACTAGAGTCGAAGTTTGGTGGGACTAAGCCTACTATAGAAACAAGTAGAGGAATGGTGAGGGCTCTGGGAATCTGTATTAGGTTCCTATGGCTGATGTAACAATTAACCATAAACTTAGTGTAAATCAACACATTGTTTCTCTTACAGTTCTGGAGGCCAGAAATCCTAAATCAGTTTCACTCAGATAAAGTCAAGGGTTCAGCAGGGCTATTCTATCCCTAGAAGTTCTGGGGAGAATCTCCTTCCTTGTCTTTTCCAGCTTCTAGAGTTGCATTCCTTGCATTCATTGACTCATAGTCCCTTCCTCCAACTTCAAAGCCAGCAACACTGCATCTTCAGATCTCTGCTTCTGTTATATCATCTTCTCCTCTGTAATCAAATCTCCCTCTTCCTTCGTGTTGTAAGGGTACTTGTGAATACATTTAGGGCCCGCCCAGATAATCCAGGATAATCTCTCCATCTCAAAATCCTTAATTTAATAAAATCCACAGTCAAACTTTTGCCATATAAGGTAACATTTATAGGTTCTGGCATTAAATTCATGTGCTCCAATTTGGCAAACTGGGGTTCACAGGTTCAGATCCTGAGCACGGACCTAGCACCACTGGTCAAGCCATGCTGTGGCAGCATACCACATAAAATAGAGGAAGATTGGCACAGATGTTAGCTCAGTGACAATCTTCATCAAGCAGAAAGAGAGGATTGGCAACAGATGTTAGCTCAGGGCCAATTCTTCTCAAAAAAAAAAAAGAAAAAAGAAAGAGAAGAAAAATTGAAACGCAAAGATCTTTGAATGTGCTTTCTTCGACATAGCTAAAATAGACTAATGGTATCTGATACATTTCCAAGAATGAGTATAACAAAAGCTTTGCTATGTTGAGATTTCTGATTGTAATTTAGGAACACCATAGATTCGGAGATTGATACAGATTCTATCAATAAAGTTTCTGTGACACAAAACAGCACTGAATAACATTATACATATTTTTGTCCACCTTAAAATAGAGAAAATTACAGTCAATTTATAGAGTATACCAATGAGAGGGAGGGTTGAAGTTGAATCAATACAACATAAAAATAAAATGATGTACACTTTTTCCAGCACAAAACTGAGGCTAAACTCTGTCTTGGCATGAATTAATTTATATGAATTTTTGAGTATAGAAACAAAAAGGGAGAGATTCTTTGGAATTCTGAGTATATACTTTTCTGCACTGGACAGAAGTTGGGTGTTAAATAATCAGTTTCCTTGATATGGATATGCCTTGTTCTTACATATAACACATTGTTATTTTCTAGAGGGTCAATGTTTAGAATATGATTTTGCTCATATTATAGAATATGATTTTTTATTTTTAAATGTTTGTAGAGTTGCATCGTTAACACATATTTGTATTTCTAGTGAGTTGAGAATTGTACCTTTCCTTTGCTTATAATGCTGAATTCTTGCTCAGGAGTACCACCTCAACTTTTCCCACTGTGGAGTTTTCTGTACTAACGAAACAGCTAGAGGTGGACACCATCATACTCTATTTGGTAATTAAACAATATGTGTTCATATAGGTACCTTTAATGTTTTCCATCCCCTTAAAATGAGTACATATATTCATTTCTTTGTCATAACACTTATAATTTCATCTCACTTTTAGGAATGATTCTTAAAAATAATGAGACTCTACTACAATATGGAGTTAAGGCACAGGATATTGTACAAGTGGAAATCTTTTCTACACATCCAGATGAATATCCAATCAAAAGAATAGACGGATTACATGATGTCTCTCAAATCATAACTGTCACAGTACAAACAGGTTAGTTATTTGATGTCTTTCAGATAAAGTATTTTAGAGTCCCTTTGTAGTTGAACTTTAATTCAATCTTGGTTTTATCTTCTCAGGCGTTGATAAGTTTCAAGAGGTAGCCGTTGAGATTATAAAATCTGACTTTCACAAACCATTTCTTGGTGGATTCAGGCATAAAATAACAGGAATAGAATATCACAATGCTGGAACACAAACTGTACCTAGGAAGATTGCTGGAAAACACAGTGTATTTTGTAGGGATACTCAGGTAATATTTTAATTTTTCTGTGTAGCTTTTTGCAGCCACAGAATCAACAAATGTTGTACTATATACTTCTGTACAATTAATCTTCCAAGGAATTATATGACAATTAAATTAATTAGCTTAAGAAAATTAACTTAAATATGTAGGAAAATACACTCTTTACTCACTTATATGTGTCTATACTGGACATTTATTTAGATTTTTGTTTCTTATTTTAGACAGTTTTTCAGAGAAAAAAGCTCCAACAAACTGCAAATACCACATCTACACAGATGACTAAAATTGGTGTGTATGTATCAAATATGACTGATAAACTGGTGACACCAGGAAAGTATTTTTCAGCAGAAGAATACCATGCTCAAAGATTAAAGGCGGTAAGATAACTTTTACTATGGGTGAATACTAAAAATTAAATATATGAGCCAATTGTTCTGTGTGTGTTTGTGCGTGTTTCCTTAAGCCGTACTAGGTTGTAAAAGAATTCATATGAGTGTTGTGAAAGAAACAATTGTTCATAACACTTGTTAAAGGTGGTAAGGCAGAGACTTTATTCAAGAGGAGCTGCTACAAGGGAGTCTTATAGTAACGGAGAGGGATCGGGCTCAACTCGGAACACAACAAGGAAGAGTGGGAGTTTATAGCCAAGGAGCAGGGTGAGGATCAGTAGATGGAAAATTACTCAGAAAACATCAGGAGTAAGGGTGGTGCTGGTTAAACCAACCTAACAGGATTTTTGCTGAAGGCAGGCCAGAGTGACTAGGCATCATCTGGGGGATAGTGAAAGATGAGGAACTCGATCAAATATCGAGGGTGATCAGATATCAAGTGTTGGGATTCTGGTTCAACTGACTTAGCAGGATTCTTGCTAAAATTGGATAATACAGAGATGAACACAGAAGCCCAAAAGTCGAGACCTAATGAAAAAACACCTCAGAGGAGCCTGATTAGAGTTTGGTCAAGGAGAGAATCTTTGTCAGTGTGAGTCTTGTTTCATTGGTAGTATAAGCAGTCTTTGTCTCCAATCTCCCCCCAGTATAAGGAACCAGAATCCTAAATGCTCCCAATCCTTCCCTTTCCCTTAGGAAATCCCAGGGGCTTTGTATGTTACCTTTGGCCATTATTAGCTTTGTCCTCTCTGTCCCTTGGCCCCAATACCTCAATCTGTGCCCTTAATCCTTATGACAGTTTAGTCACGTAGGGAGCTTTCCAGACTAATTAAAACCAAAAGGATGTTAAAGTTTATTTTCTCTGATGTTAACATAGCCATTCCAACTCTTTTATGTTGTTGTTTGCATAGTCTTTTTTCAGCCTTTTATTTTCAACCTATTGGAATCTTTGAATCTGGAGTATAGCTCTTGTAGATGGCATCTTGTAGATGGATCTTGTCTTTTGATCCAGTCTGAGAATCTTTGCCTTTTGATTGTAATGTTTAATACATTTATGTTTAATATAATTATTTATAACGTTGAATTATATCAGCCATTTTGCTATTTGCTTTCTATATATTGTCTCTCTTGTCCCTCTGTTCTTCCTTTACTACATTTTTTATGTTAAATAGATATTTTCTAGTGTACCATTTGAATTATTTTGTTGTTTTTTCAATTTAAAACCTTTGTTTTCAGTACAATGTATACTTTTTTCTTAAAGTGTACAATTCAATGATTTTTACTATATAAACAGTCATGTAACCATTACCACAATCAATTTTGTGGTAGAACACATTCTCATAATCCCAGAAAGAAATCTTGCACCCAATAGCAATCACTCCCTTTCCCCTCCAATCCTTCCTGCCTAGGCAACTACTAATCTACTTTCTGCCTCTATTGATTTGCCTATTCTAGATATTTCATATAGATGGAATCATACAATATGTAGTCTTTTGTGACTGGCTTCTCTTACTTATCATATTGTTTTCAAGGCTCATCCATGTTGTAACATGTATCAGTACTTCATTCCTTTTACTGAAGAATAATATTCCATTGTATATACCCAATTATATATACTTATTGTATATAGGCCAATGTATATACCACATTTTGTTTGTCCATTTGTTGGTTGGTGGACATTTGGGCTATTTCCACTCATTGGCTATTAAGAATAAGGCTGATGGAAACATGTGTGTACAAATTTTTGTGTGGACATATGTTTTCATTTCTCTCGGGTATGTGCCCAGGAGTGTAATTGCTGGATCATATAATAAGTCTATGTTTAACCTTTTTGGGGAACTGCCAGACTGTTTTCCAAAGCAGCTGTACTATTTTATGTTCCACCATCAGAGTATGAGGATTCTCGTTTTTGCACATCCTCATCAACACTTGTTATTGTCTGCCTTTTTGATTATAGTCATCCTAATGAGTGTGAAGTGGTATGTCATTGTGGTCTTTATTTGCATACCCTGATGGCTAAAGACATTGAATATCTTTTCATGTGCTTATCAGCAACTTGTATATATTGTCTTAGGAGAAATGTATATTCAGATCCTTTGCACATTTTTAATTGGGTTGTCTTTTTTATTATTGCTTTATTGTGTTTTAAAATTATTTTTTAGTTATTTCTTAAGTGGTTGCTCTAAGTGTAATCTGGGGATTACAATATACTTCTCAATTTATAACAATATACTTCACATTAATACTAAGTGGAATCCACTAATACTAAGTGGAATTAATACTAAGTGAATATTGAAACCTTGCTCCAATAGAACTCCAATTTCATCCCTTCTCTTTTGTGCTATCACTGTCATACAAATTTCTACTTTCTTTGTATGTTCTAAACCCTACAATTCCTTTTATAATTATTGTTTTACGCAATTTTCTTTTAAATAAGCATAGAAAGAGGAAAATATATTTATACAGTCTTTTATATTTACCTAAATAATTACCTTTTCTGGTGCTGTCTATTTCTTCATTTGGATTAAAATTAACATCTCGTGTCATTTGCTTTCAATCTGAAGAACTCTGTTTAATATTTCTTGTGATATGTTTGTTTGCTTGATGGTGTCCTGAAGGTCTCTGAGTTTCTGTTCATTTACCTTCCTTTTTTCTCTTCTTCAGAATGGACAGTTTCTTATGATCTATCATCAAGTTCATTATTCTTTCTTTTACCAGTTCAGATCTGCTGTTGAGCCTGTCTAGTGAATTTTCATTCCAGTTTTCGTACTATTTAACCCCCAAATTTCCATTTCTTTCTTTTTTTTAATAATTTCTCTTTATTGATATTCTCTATTAGATGAATCCTTGTCATCTTACTTTCTTTTAACTCTTACACACTGTTTCCTTTAGTTCTTTGAACATGTTTATAAAAGCTGCTTTGAAGTCTTCATTGAGTAAGTCCAACATCTGAGACCCCTCAGAGGCAGTTTCTATTGACTGTTTATTTTTATCCTAAATTGGTCATACTGTCTTCTTTCTTCGCATGGCTTATAATTTGTTGTTGTTGTTGTTGTTGAAAACTGGATATTTTAGGTAATATATTGTATCATCTCTTTATCCTGTCCCTTGTAACAACTCTTTATTCTGTCCCTGTTCGCTCCAAGGATCAGTGTTATATCTGTTTTATGTTTGTTTATTTGTTTAGTGACTTGCCTGGATTAATTAATTAGAGTAGTGGTTCTCAACTGGGAGTGATTTTGCCCTCCAGGGAACATTTGCATTGTCTGGAGACATTTTGACTTGAGGAGGGGTATGCTACTGTCATCTAGTGGGTAGAGGATGGAGATGCTTCCAAACGTGCTATAATGCATACAAACCTGCACACCCACCACGACAAAGAATTATCTGGTTCAAAATATCAATAGTGCTGTTGCTGAGAAACCCTGCTTTAGAGTCTGCGTATATCACAGTATGTAGCCACTGATGTCTCTGCTCATTTGTTGTTGCTGTTTTCTTTTGTAAGTCTGGCCTCCTAAGCATTGCCCCTAGTTTAGCATAGCTTAATGGTTCAGAGGTCAAAATTCTTTGAGCTAGTAAAGCTTCCACTCTTTGCCAACGGACTCATGTGTGGACTGGAAGATACATTCGAATTTCATGCAAGTTCAGTTTATATTTGTCCTGATTTTTACTTTCTGCTGGACTTTTTTCTTGCGTTTCTTCTGTACAAGGCCTCACATTCAGCCTGGGACATATAGATAGGCAGGGCCTTCTCCACTCTCTATTGAGTATGTATACATCCTTGTACATGTGCTCAGCTTTCAAACTACCAGGGATATTTCACAAGTTGTCTTACCCACTGTGGCTATCTCATTTTCCTGATCTTCCTGATTAATTTCTGGCTAGTCTGCCACTCTGTTCCTTGCTCCAGAACACAACCTCAGGCTATCTGAGCTGCTGGCCTTCTGTTTTTGCCATTGAGATTACTACTGTTTGTGACATTGCTCAGGGGTATGGACTTTTTCCTTGCTTTGCTCCAAATCACTTCAGCCCCCTGAAAGTGGATATAGGTGAACCTGGGGGAAAGAGAAGATGAGAGCAGCTGTAAGTTGAAATGTCACAGGCTTCCTCTGTTCCTACTTGAGGTTTAGTAATTTTTCATCAATAAACACTTCTTTATTTGATGTATGCCTTTGGTCAATTTCCAGAGTCCTGAAATGATTATTTTTTTAAAATAATTTTGTCCAGTTTTATCATTTGTTTTTGGAGAGAGCATTTGCTGAGTCCTTCATTCCTCCATTCTGTAAGACCTGCCTCCAGGCCCATCTAGAATCTTTAGTGACTTATTTTACATGACAGAATTTTCATGATTGAAAGAAAATATATTTTAAATATACATAAAATATGTTTTAAGTATATTTTAAAATATTAACCCCCTCTTGGATCCTTATCAGAAACGCACATGCACACACACATGTGCACGCACAAACACAAGTTCCTGAAATATTTGCAATCTGTAATTATTTATATATATGGTCCAATCACTGTTATCTTCTTGTATATTTTCCTAAAGGAGCTTGGCTGACGTCTGAACTTGCATAGAATTGGGCCTGTAGGCCACCTATAGGCAAGGTGGGTGCTCTTAATTTGAGGTCTGCCTTGTCCATTTGCTGTGTGGTCTTTGGAGAGTGTCAGACACTGCAGCTGCTGCCAGCTTTAGGGTTCTGGTGAAGGGAGGCTGGAGTGAGCGCTCCCTGGCAGTGCAATTGGGAGAGCTGGGAGGCCTGAGAACACAGAGGCTTCCTTCCATGCCCCAGCTCATGTGTCACCAGATCACTAGCATAAGAACTACCATACTTTTCGCCACTTGCAAGTTCACTCTCAAGGGCACTGAGTTTGACCTGAATGTGTATTGAGGAACCTACCTCCGTGAGGAAGCAAAGAAGTTACACCCCCTTCTACAGGACCCGTTAACTGCAAGGAGGGAGACCAACCAGGACAATTTGCCT